TCATTTTGCAGAATCAGTTCTGCTCCCCTGCCCCTCCTTGCTTCGTGCTTACATGCTCCCCCCATGAAATGCTTTGTAATCTGTGTCGACAAAAACCAGACTAGCGGTTTCGGCAGAATTAATCCATCTGATTTTTATTGTCTGAAGAAGATCAGTATTTATGCACGGCCAACATTGTGGTGGGGGTGAAAGGCAGCTCAGGGGCCCACACCTATCTGAATCAGAAAAAGGTCTTCTGCTAAAACTGTTTCACCTTTGATGGTGTTCAAAGATGATTAATGAAACATTTGTAACTCTGAAGCAAGTTTGGCGGTTGTATAAACCGGACTGCGTTTCTCCTTTGAGAAGGCATTCAGCAAATTAGGCTGAAGCTGTGTTGTAGCTAAAAAATGTTGCTAACTTAAGACAGGCTTTTCTCATGCATCCCGTTAAAATACAATTATATTGGAAGGGAGTTCCCTTACAAAGGTAATATCATTTAAGCAGTTTTCACTGTCATGGAAAAATGAACATTTATTCCATGCTCTAATAGCATGCACAGACACTTGCTTTATTTTCTGTCTACTTCCATTTCGTATTAGGATACACCATTCAGTCAGGCCAGTGGTCCTTTTGGTCTGGTATTCTCTTTACAGAGAGGCCAAAACAACATGATTTGGGAGAGCGTGCAAATCTAGCACTTTCTACCACTTTTCCTTCTAGTACTTGCCAGCATTTGTGATTTTTCTATTGGGATGTTAGACTCTCTGCATCTCTTCCTGTTGGTTTTTATATCTGTTTATGGACTTGTGCATGAATTTGTGTGCTCTTGTTTTGAACCTGCTGATACTCTGCCTTCACAACCTCTTGTGGCAATAGGTGCCAAAAGTTCACAACCTGCAAAGTGAAGAAGCACTCACTTTTCTCTCTTAAATGTTTTCTTTCTCCTTCTAGTTGCACCAAATGTTTCCTACTTTTTAATTACTCAGTAAATTGTGCAAATAAAACATGTATGTATAAGAATAATATATTTAAGTAAATTTTGTGCAGTATTAGCTTCTAGGATGATGCAGCTACTGAGCAGATGATGAGTAACAAGCCATTTCTATGAGATTGTTGCTTCTTTGCTGGCAAAGTGGTATCCAGCATCTGTGGTTGCTCTCTCCTAAATTTCACACAGGGGAATTGTTTCTTCTTGTGAGAATATCTTAAGAAATTAACTTAGTCTCTGAGGAAATGTAAAATTACATGAGGAGTATGTCATGCCAGTTATGAAAACTTCCTTGACTTATCTCAAGAGACAAAATAAAAAAATTCTTCATACTATCTACCCAGCCTGACCAAATCAGTCAGCAGACACCAGCCATAGCAAGATCTAAACTACCGACTCTGCATCAGAAAACCCTAGAATAGATGGTGTTAAGATAAATATTTTTATACCAGCTTTCTGTACAGTTTAAGAAAAGTGTACACATTTCCTACTGTTGCAATGAACCTAATTATGCATTACGTTTTGGAAAGCATTTTTATCTCTTTCGCCATAGACACCATTGGTTCTGCAGATTTAGAGGCTTTGCAACTGCAGGAAGTTGCCACGCTCCTTTAGCCCCCTAATATTTTCTACCATTCTGGCATTTGTTGAGACTTGTATAGCTGATATCCCTTCAAAGCATGAGAGACAGCAAGGCAATTCATAAAGTGCCATTCACTGATGAGATATAAAAGTATGATAGACTGTATCTTTTAAGTAAAGATGGGACCTGTAGCTCTAAATCGATGGCATTATGAATAAGGCTGTTAACCCTCGTTATCCCAGAGGTATTTTAGAAAATCCAAGGAAATACTTTTTTATTTTAAAAATATCTACAGTTCCTATTTTTAACACTAAGCCATTTTCTTTTAGCCAAAACCAACTGGTGTACTAGGTACAGTAAACAAACCATTATCTGCTACTGGAAGGAGACCATATATTAGAACCACAGGATCAGAGACTGGAAGCAATATCAGTGTGAACTCTGAGCTGAGCTCTTCTGCAGGAAACAGATCAAGGTACAGGCATTTGAAAGATGACTTCTTTCCTCAGCTCTTAATTTCATGTTCTCCAGGATAATTGCACATTTTAGGATACGAGATGATTTGGTGTGTGTGTCACTGTTACAGTCTGAATTTGAACAGTGAGATGTCATTCTTTGTCCAGTATTTATAGTAGGTCAAATCTCCATCTTTGTTTCTTCACTAGGCAAGAATTTGGTACAATGTATTGTTTATGCCTGCCTGTAGTCAATACGGACTATAACAGAAGAGACACTACAGTGTCCTGAAATTATGGTGGTTAATAGTGGTAGTATTTTTGCATCAGAAAATACACAAATTGAAGACACCAGTTATAGTTAATACTAAACTGATTTCGCTACACACAACGTTTGTGAGGTATAAATTAGGATTAATCTTGATTGGTAACAATAAATATTTTTGGTATAGCTGAAACATTTGAATCTTTTTAAGATAAAGAACAATAAAAAAGAGCATACTTAGGAGGATCAAGATCTCAGTGGAAAGATGCAATATATAATTTAATACTCTCCCTTTCTTGTAGTAAGTGTTCTTTTCCTTGTGGAGCCAAAGAGTTGTTTGGTTTCTCATAAATCTGGAGAAAGAATTTACACTTTCAGATTTTAGGATTAAGTTTAGTTTGTTTTGGAATTGATTGACTGGATCAGATAAAAGATTAAGGAAAGTAGAGAAAATCGACTACTTGCTACTTTTCATGAAGCCTAAGGGAAGTATCTCTCAGCTGAGAATGTGTTCTGTGTGTGGGAAAGGGTTTAGGTGGGTCTGATATATTGTAATTACTTTTTTAAACTATTATGCTTTTATGTAAATTAACTGGAAGCTTGAGCATTACTGATCCTGGTGTTTATTCTTCCTCCCTACCTTTATCAGTTTCAGACTTTCCTATCTAAAAGAAGAACATAGCGTTGCTTAGAGCACGGCTCTTAAGTTTGTGAAAAATATTATGTGGCATAGTGCCTGTGATGAGGGACTGGGCTGAGTGACTAGGCAATCCCTTTCAGTTCTGTTCTGAGATAGAAAATGTAAACACAAAGTAACACAACTTTCTTAATAATTTAGCCTGTCTGCATTGATATTAAAAAAAAAAAAAAGAAAAATTTTACATTTACTTCTTCTAGTTGTTTTTGTTCTGTATATTTTGGTTGTCTTTTGTTTTTAATTGTGCTACCAGGGAACAAAGTTCAGATATATCAGAAACTGGGGTCAGCGAAAATGATGAAAATCCTGTGAGGATTATTTCAGTCACACCAGCAAAGACAGAACCTGTGAAAAACAAGGTATGGTTTGCGGGTTTTGTGGACTTCATTTCTATAATTAGCTTGGTGTGGGGGATTTATTCAGTACATATCATTGCATCTTAGATGATCTCTGCAAAATCAGTAATAACTGATTTCATTTCACGTAATTGTATCATTTCCTTAGCCCAAAAAAGACCTCTTAGTTTCAATACTCCTGGTTACTGTATCCAGAGAAATTAATAGAGAACGTGCTCAAAAAAGCTCAGGCAGATCAGAAAGGACCTTCTCTTTTTTCATAAAATTCCCCAAAAATTCCACTTTTATTCCATCTTTTTTCCAGTTTAAATAACAGTAAGGTGGTGATTCAAAGTGAAGGTCAAAGTGAAGGTTGACACCTGTGTCTTTAACTGAAGCTATTGCTGGGGAGATGGCAAGTGGTCCTGTGTCATTAAATTAATGTCTGTCTCTTGGATTGTGTCACAACCAAAACATTATTTACAGTTTGGGAATTTTGCTGTGCTGTTTTTTCCCTTCCATTAGAGACATAAGACCATGCCTAAAGCATAGTGATTTTTTAACTCATAAAACATATAATTGCATGAGGTTTAACAAAGATAAATGTGAAGTCCTGCACTTGGGATACATTAAACCCAAGCAGCAGTACAGCAGGCTGAGATCTGCCTGGCTGGGGTGCAGCTCTGTTGAGGAAGAGCCAAGGGTCGGGGTGGACAGCCAGCTGAACGTGAGCCAGCAGTATGCCTTGGCAGCAGTGTGGGCAACCCGGGTCCCGAGCTGCATCAGCAAGAGGGTAGCCAGCAGGGTGAGGGGTGTGGATATCCCACTCTGCTCAACTCTTGTGAGGCCACACATGAAATACTATGTCCAATTTTGGTCCGCCTCAGTTCAACAGAGACATAGAAAAATTGAAGAGAGTCAAGCAGAGGGCCACCAAGATGATTAAGAGGTTCAAGAACTTGACATATGAATATAAAGGTTGAAAGACTTTGGTTTGTGCAGCCTAGAGAAGAGAAGGCTTAGGATGTAATCATAGTCTTCCAATGTCTAAAAGGTTGTTATGGAGAAGATGAAGGTACTCTCTTCTCAAGGCTGCGTGGTTACAGCACAAGATGAGGGGAAATTCTATCTGGATATAAGACAACACAGTTCTTCACTGTGAGAAAAAATAAATAGTGGAGTAGGTTGCCCAGAAAAATTTTGTTTGGGATTTGTATCTTCACATAAAGAAGCTAGATTTTTTTTTTCTTAATCTCTTTAAATAACATCCACACAATATACACACCTATGAGCTAATGAAGAAGATATCTTTCTGACATCTCACCCGTACGATTCTTCTCTCCTCCCCAATGAAGTTCTGAAAAGCTAGATAAGCTAGGCAAAGCATTTAAAAAATAAGTCTTTAAAAATGTTTTTTCAGTTCTTGAAACCTGACTTTAGCTGAGATTTTGAGAATGATTCATCTGTAATGTTTCTAGCAATAGCAATTGTAAATGTTTCATATGAATCTGATAAAATAATAAGGATTACAGAGACTGCATGACTTCTATATAAACATTTAAGAAATAGTGGTAGTATTTAACAAAAAAGTCCTTGCTTCAGGCACAGCACTTAGGGAATGGTCTTAACTAACGTGTTTGAAATTGTTAAGTCATCCTAGCCATGCTCCTTTTTCTCTGCTCTTCTTCCTGGAAAACTATCCCAGAAGCCTCTGCTCCTGCTCAAATGGAAGTCCAGCATCCAATTGCTGCTTCTTTGTCTCCAGATGAATACTTTTCTGGGTAGAAAAGTGTTGGTATTGCCACCACCCTTTGCTTATCACATATACAGACACAGGTTCATGAAATGTAATCACTTTCATTACCTTCTTCAGTGTATTGGGGAGAACATGCACATAGGCCATACCTATTTAAACATGGAAGAATTAAGAAAGACAGTAGGTTTTACTTGTGTCCAGATCTTCCTCCCTTTGTTCCCCCCAAGCCTTGCTTTTTTCCTTTTAATGGCATTTAGGGTTTCTATAATCTGAATCTTCCCAGGAGTTTAACCTCAAAATTTGCATCTATTGAAGTAAATATCATTTGCTTTACCACAGTCATTCCTCTTGCTCTGCAATTCTCTCTCCTGGAGGCTGGCAGAAGGGTGTCCAGCACGACTACTGTGGGAGAAGCTTAGATTATTAGTCTTACTCTAATCTTACTTCCAAGCAACTGAAAATATATGTTGAGTACAGATATTAAAATGACACAGCTGTAGTGCAGAAAATCCTTTTACAAGGTTAATGTCAAATATCCCATTTAGTAATATCCTTTATTAGAACTAAGCCAATGTGATATGTGTTTATAACGACACGTATGTTTCATAAACTCATGCTTCTATCAGAAGGAGGTGACAATTCCAGTTTACTTTTGGGAATTTTTTCTTTTTTTATTTCACATTTAATGATTTTCTTTTATAGGAAATTAATTCTGATCAGGCTACACAAGGAAACAGCACTGAACGTGGGAAAAAAAGAACGGCAACAGCATCTGGAACTGAGAACATTCATCAAAAAACAGAAGAAAAGAATGCAGAAGAAACAGGGCCATCACTCGCAGCAAAAACCAGGAGAGGGCGTCCACCCAAACCTGAACCTCAGGGCACCACTGCAAAAAATGAGGAAACAAGTAAACCACCTGTCAGGGGAAGGAAAAGGGCAGCAGTCAGTCAAGAAAATCCAGGAGGGTTAGAAGCAGGTAATGCCAAAGCACCGAAACAGCAAGACACAGCAAAAAAGCCAGCAGCAGCACAGAGACAAATTGATCTACAAAGGTAAAAAAAAATAAAAATAAAAAAAAAAAAAAAGTGGGGTGGGCCATTCTTCTCTCAAGATAGACCCAGAATTTACAATTATAACAGATTTAGCATAGGTTAAAGGGCATAATTAAACCAAAGCGTTTATATAAGAATAAAAACCATGGTCCATCATGGTTTCTGTTGCGTTCTGTTTTTCAACCAGGGCAGCTAGAATTAGCTGAATTGTCTTCACCAAATGGTATTTTTGGTATATTACATCCTAGTTCCCCTTATTAGCACTGCTGTGTAAAAGTACTAAGAGTTGAGGGTATTTCAGTGCATTCATCCCAGGTATACAGGGATTCAAGTGCTTTGCTCTGCTCTAGTTCATTGGTAACAGTGGTTTGAAAATTGACCGTCTTTCATGAAAAGAATAACTTGCAATTCTTTTCTGGTATTCTGGGTCTGATGCTTGTTTAATGCCATAATGTTAATATTAACAGCATTTATAATTTTATATGTATGTATGTATATTTTAATATGTTGATTTGGTTTCTAATATAATGAAACCTCAAATGCACCTAAACACTGAGAAATTAATTTAGCTGACCCTTATTGTATCACTTTTGCATTAAAGTGTCCAAAGTTGAAGAACAGTAAGGTAAGCTCAGAAACTGGTGTGCTGGAGGAAATCTCAATTTAATCTGAGGGAAGTATGAGTAATTTCCTCTCTAGATTTTTTCTAGAGATCTTGTCAAATTGAAGATCTTGTAGAGAACCATGATCAAATATGATTTCCCATTTCCTCTCACAGCAAGGTTCATATACTAGTAAGCTGTCCAGTCTTTCAAGAGAATAGTGTTTGTATACTGCCTTGCAATGCTTTTTTTAATACTTCATAAGTTTTCATAATAAACTATACCATCCATAGCCTTAAATAAGCCACTTGTATCAGTTAATTTCTTTGAAATATGTAAGACCTCAGTGTTTCTTGAAAAAAAAAAAAAAAATACCACAACCATATTAACGTTTTTTCAGAAGCCAGGTGCTTGGAAGTGATGGAGATTCACTGTTGGAGATAGACTCAAGTCCAGGATATTCCCAAAATGCAATGGATCTTTTTAAAGCCTGTGAGAGCAGCCAGGAAGACACTGAGGACACAGAGATAGAAGAGGGAGGCTTCCTTAAGGTGTAGCAGGCATTTTATATAGGACACTTCTGTGTTTTTATTCTAGCTTAATAGGATAGGGAGTCAAATAAACTTGTCTTCCTTCTATAAAAAGATATGTAAAAATAACTCTACACCTGATAGTTTTTTGTTTTTAAGTAGAAATGTACAAGTTACTGTAAACGTTTGAAGTACTGCTTGCTTTTAAATAAGACACACACAATGCTGTTATAAATCTGAGTAACAGAATACTTAGAGCAAGTTACCATTCTTATTCTCTGATCCCAATGAAAGCTATGGAGAAATTTCTCTTTATGCTGAGTTATTATTCATTCAACTTGTATATTTTCAAGTTTATCCGAAAGTTGTGTTATACAATAACGAAATGCAGTTATATTGAACTAATACTATGATAGTTGAGAAGATGTAAGATATAGCTGGAAGAGAAAAGTCACAGGTATAAAGAAATAGTGTAAGACTTTAAATATACACAATACAGATTGGATTAGGATTTTGAGTCAGAATTAATTGTAATTTCCTTATTCTTATGATTAACTTTTTTTTTCCTTTTCTCCTTCCAAAAAGGTAAAAAGAAAACTCACTCGCAAAGGGAGGAAATGAAGGCCAAATAAAGGCATGCTCCAAGCTTCTGCAAAAACTAGGATTCAGAAATTTCCTGTACAGGAACTGAAATTACTTCAAAACACAGCTTTCAGCTCTGTAAACAGAAGGAAAACTATGCTTCCCTTTCACATGAATTTAATCCTTCTCAATGGAAATGTAAAGCAGAAACTCTTGAGAAAGAGGCTAAAAGCATCTGTACTTATTTCCCCAGAGACTTTTTTTATGAAAAGTCAATAATTAAGCAAATTGCTTAACACTTGATTCCAGTTCCTGAGTTCTGGAGTTTAAAAGTGTATTTACACCATTAATTTTCATGCTGCATTTTTTTTTTTAAAGAAAGTCAGAGGAGGTCCTTACACTGACATTGAAAATTCATGATCCTAGAGCCAGGTATTCCCATGTTTTACAGAAAAAGTAGAAGTCTACTGAATGGATTTTAAACAAGACTAGAGGAAAAAAAAAATCACAAAATTTTTTTTTTTGCTTTACTTTTGGAGACTGTTTTATGTATAATTCTTTCTGCCTGCCTACTTTTCTGCAAAAATAAGATGTACAGATTTCAGTTCCCTGCTATGAAAAGTCATGTGGTGGCAATTTTATAAATGTTGCTTTCTGATTTTTATCAGAGTGGGAAAGTAATCACTTAAAATTATTATTAATTCGCAAGTAGACATTTCATTTTTTAATTTTCCCTCCATTTTAGTTTAATATAATTTGCAATAAATGTACATATTGATGTTTGTTTTATAAAAACATATATCACTTTTAAGTGTTTTTACTCCCGCGGTTCTGTTGGATTATTCTAAATTTTAAAGGAGTAAAGACAGTCCAGCATTTGATTTTATAATGTTTTGTCACCAGATTTTTATTATTGATGTAAAGAAACAAATTCAATTTTTAAAAATAGTTGGACTTTGGCAGCTTTGTAAGGAAAGTTGGAAATGTTTAGGATTGCTCTCAATTTTAAGCATTGTGCTGATTGGAAGTAAGTCTGTTTTGCATTTTGTCTTCCTGTCCAGACTCATTTTTTAATGTTTATTTTAGAAGATTGTTGCATCAATATTATGTTTCCTGGCATTGTTCAGCATAGATACAGTGTACACTTTTATGTACACATGATCATATTTAAGTTTGTTGCATAAAATAAACGCTTCTAGGTGTCACGTGGTAGTTGTCTTTTTTTAATCTTTCTCCCTAAAACAGCTATTTGCTCTGTACCTGTACGTGGTCTTGGGCATTCATACAAATATTATATTGAGCAAATAAGCTGTAATGCAGATTATTACATAGTTTAAAAGATAGATTTTTGGCTGATATTATGGTGCTTTATTTTGTAAAGTGTGTGAAGAAGGGGGTTGGTCGGCAGAATGATGATGAACAAGTCACTTTGTTTCTCAGTTTCCCATTTCTCCCCTGCAAATTGTTTCCTGGAAATCTTTTGATACATTGTAGAATAGCTGGATTCTGTTGACATTAGTTAAGGATTACCTGCTATCATAAAATAGGTTAGGCATATCTGGGTGCTGTTAAGCTAGATGGTTGTCTCTCTCATATCAAGATACAGTATTTAATTGGTGTTACATCTATTTTTCCTCTGTAACAGAAAAAAATATGCTCTTTTCACAGAGCGATATATATGCCACTCTCTTGCTAAAGCAATATGAGATGCTTTGGCTTAAAGATTTTAAGTGCTTTTGATAGAGGGATACTGGGAGATTAAAGAAAAAAAAAAAAAAAAAGCAAATAATTACACATATATCCATCAGGGTTTTGATTTCTAAAACTGAAATACTTTCACAAATTGGATTTGCTGATCATAATATAGTTTCCTTTTGGTTCTCTGTTTAAATACTTCCCTCATGCAAAAGATATGCCATTTTGGTTCTTGTTAAAAGAAATTTTAAGCCTTTTTGTTACAATACTGTAACAAAAAAACCCTCTTTTAGAAATCAGCTCTAGTAGCTAAGAGCTCTGGAGGCTAGTAGCGCTAGGCAGTAGTGTGCCTCTAACAGTGCTTTGGAATCTAGCCAAAATTGACAAATTTTGCAAATCTTTCATTCAGAATTGTTTCAAAAAGCTTTCATTTTTATGAAGTGGCTGATGGATTTTTTTTTTCCAGTTTTCGGTCAAATTGTTCCAATGTCAAATTATTCATGGAGTCATCCTAGAATAATTTTGGTTAGAAGGGATTTCTAGAGGTCTTATGGTCCAATGCCCAGCTCAGAGCATGGCCTTTCTGTTGTCTTTAATTTACAAACACAGAATTATGCAAGTTTTGCATGCTAACTTTTTCTGTTATCTGTTTTTCTTTAAGAGAACATTTAAGTTACTTTAATACATTGATTATCAGGATGGCCAAAGAAAATTGCTGCATTCATGTAGCAAATTATGCTGGACATAATTGGCTAAGCAAAAATGCAGCATACAAACTACAGGAAAAAGCCTGATCTTTTGGTGGAACTTGCCACAGACAAGTCTACATACAGAATTTCTCAACCTGGTCTCCCTGCTCTCTAGTTTTTCCAAAGAAGAAAATGTTTATTTTGTGCTTAACTTATATGAATTTTAAAATATTTTACAAAATAGTTTGAATATTCTAAGGTCTTGAAGTTTTATATTCAGAGTTATATAGTTCGAGCTAAATTCTCATCATCTGAAGTTCCCATCTTCTTTGTTTCCTCTGATTCTAGGAATGTATCGTTCTCATAACAGTAGGACAGAAAGGTTGTATTGTTGTGGAAACATACTTCATAATCTAGATAATTAAGCCACTCCACAGACTTGAATCTGAATTGTTGTTTTTAGACAAAATAATATTTTCTAGAGAGAACCCGTATATTTCTTAAACAGCAAGAATAATATCCATTACAAATTTTCATTGCGTATGCGATGATAAGCTTTAAAATTTTAGAGTTGCTAAATAACAAAAAATACTCCTCTAAAATGTATTTCCAGACAATGGATGCTTAGTACATATTGCTGGACCAATTTCAACATCAGACTGGCCACTGAGTTGCTTGTTAAATGTTGGGGTTATCATAGCTGAATGTATTTTCTCATCTGAAGCTCCCAAAAGATCACCAAATACTTGCAATACACAGGAAATCTCCCTCTTCAAGAAATTGCTGTCATAGCCATGCATATGTGCTCAATGATTAGGTGTATCAGCAATAATAGGTTTGTTTGTGCCCACAGGTTGAATCCCAAATCAGCACTCAAGGAAATAGTCCAACTTTTTTGATTTGGGC